ACATTCAAGGTTTGAAACATTGGTTACTTGCCATTCAGCGTGATTTCAGCAACGTACGTAAATGGTGGGTTTGACAGAATGATATCTCTGTAGATATTGGTCATTATCAGACATTGATCCGTGATTTTGTGCTGTGAATATTTAAGATGTATAGCAAATGGTTCCCTTTGATGCATTTCGTTGATGTCCATGCATAGGTAACGATAACTCATGCCATAAGATCAAATCATGTACGATTACAGATCCGAGTCTTAAGTCCGCATCCCAATTAAGTCCGCACTTCACAACTCAAAATTCTTGGATCAATTCTCAAGAGTGTATTTTACAAAGAACTCCTTGAGCAAAATAAAAGCTGCGGTTTCACTTGGATGCAATGCAAATGCTCCAAATCTCCTTGAGCAAAATAGATGCAAATGCTCTAAATCTCCTTGAGCAAAATAGAAGCTGCTGTCGAGGGTTGTCACCCAGAAAACCAGCTGACTATCGCCGAAGCAAGTGCCTAAAGGCCCTGGCGCCCCTCTACCTCCTCACCGGGAGACGATCTCAAACCTCTGACTATTCAAAATGGTTGTTGTTTATGAGTGGTTATGTCCATGACGGTGTTTCCTTCGTACTGGAGAAAGGTGTTTTGGACATTTCGTGTAAGAGATATACTTACCTTTCAGCCCGGGTCACATCCCTTAAGAGTCAGCTTTTATCACATTATATTACTTCTCATATAACTCGACTAGTATAATGTGGGAATTTGGTATATTTATTGCGCAATGGAAGTTGATCCTTTGTGTACAACTTAAATTTTTAACAATTCTTACCAATTATTATTGGGAGCGGTTAGTTATCATTCACTCTACTATAATCAATTATCTTATTAGATGATGCAAGTTAGTCAGTTCTCTTATTGGTCGGTGCAAAATAATAGTAATTGTGCGGTGCTAGGGATGCAATATCAATTATAGGATGTTGGACCAATCAAATAAGATCGTATAGTAGGGTGAACGCTAATTAGTTCTAAGTGAATATTAACTAACCTCACCCTTATTATGTTTTAAATTTTGATTTTTTTACTCTTTCCAATATATGTTAGACACTACGTTTATTTTATTTGTATGACCATCTTCAAAATTGCTTTAGGTAATGATTTTTTTTATTCAAATAGATAGTACGGCAATAAGACCAGAATTTGATTATATTGCAACTTGTTAGCGTTTTTGGATCATTATTCACATTTGAACAACAATTTTGTCTACTCTATTTTGAAGTCTCTTACCTAGAACTCATGTAAATACATAATATGTCATTGTTGCTCTTCTTGATACGGATCTGGATTGAATTATCTTGAGGTTGGTAGTTGTAAATGTGTTTAACAATGTGTCATGTGTATAATCTCAAAGAGTTTAGCAAGGTTTCTTTATCAAGAGTCCTTCCGTATGATTTTTTTTCGTATTAAAACTAGAAAAAATTGATGATATGAATCATCTTCAAGTCCGTTGTAGACATAAAGATAATACTTTATTATGATCCGCAGATGTCTCGTTGTAAGATTATTATTAAATCTTACCTGGAAGAGATTTTTATGATCATGAAGTCATCTGATATTACGATAGATCTTATCATGTATGGATAAAAACAACACAGCTATTTAACTAATTATCATTTGACTAAAATGCTCATTGTAACAAAAAGCAAGTGTTTTGATGAAGCATTATTTATTTCGTGATTAACATATCACGAAATAATCATGTCTTCATCACTATCATTATTGAACAATCTGGTGATTAATTTAGAATAATCTTGTGTAAAAAGTGTTGGTTTTTTCCAAACTGAATCAACATTGCAAATGATTTATATGGCCCAAATTGATAACTATGTACGCATTTATATATTGTGATTCATAAAAATTAAATTTGGATGATTTCTTGTGATGACTTATACCCAAGTAAAATCAATTATAATTCATCTTAAAACACACAAATATGACATCGATCTTTAGCAAATTTGACAAGATATAATATTTGCAAGTTATAGATTATTGTGTTTCATTTGTAATATTTTTCATAAAGAGCTAATTTGCGGTTATAATGTTCAATTTGAATCAATCGCAACTCACTTTTTTAAATGATATTGAAGCTCGTATTTATTTCAGTTGAAAAAATCAAAAGAAATTTTGATCTAATTTTTTACACTAGAGATAAAAAACGACACTCTTATCTTTCACCATTTTTTACTTTGGATCAGTTAGGTCACTTTGTCTAATTTTTTATTTTATTGAGTATATTTTACAAAATAATATGAGATTGAATGCATATAATTTAAACATTTAATGGAAATCTACAAATTTAATTAATCTAGAAGTAAAATGATTGTGTTCGCATTTGGATGTTTTGACAAAAAGTCAAAATTAAAAAGACTGTAATCCAGAATTAGCATTGCTTAGCTATAATATCAAAATTTCGAATTTTTTCTTTAATTTCACATAGCTTGAGTTACTTAAAGCTATTTTATCAAGATATTTATAATTTTTTAATGAAAGTTAAGATATTTTTTTTTCATATTTAAATAATAAGAAATATATAAATTACTACAATGTAAATACAGTGAATACGAATAATGTGAGAAATTATTTTTATTGAAGATTTTAAGATTGAAAATTGCTATAATAATCAAAATATTTTATAAAAAGAAAAGGAAGATTTTTGTAATAAAATAATTACAAGGTCATATTATTTAATTTTTATTTTTATTATATATTATATATTTTTTGATCACAATTTTGTATATTAAAGAAAATTTAGATAAAGAAAATTAATATATGAATAAGAAGATATTAATGCAGTTTTTGTAACGTTTGAATTATATATAAGAACTTAAACAAGATAATCAGTTCTTTAATGCTAGAATTGTAATATTATCAATATCAATAACAATCAAATTTTATAGGATGATGAAAAAAAATATTTTCAGTAACTTCAGTTATTTATGGTATCTAAAAATTTTCAAATGAACTCAAGAAGATTGTTAAAACTTTATTTTCATCAACGTCTAGAAAATGCTATGGATTTTATATCATTTCAAGATAGTTTTGGAGTAAAGCTCCAATAATGCTAATTTGATTATATATAGACTAAGTTTGCAAAGGGCGAAAAAAATCTAGAAATTGAATGAGTTTTGTAGATGACTCGAAGGAATGATTTTAAAACAACTTAATAATGAATTTATATCTTTTCAAAACACATAAATAATTAAGACTCATTATTCTTACATCATCTGATCATCATAAAATTATTAGTTGTTCAAATACTGTCAATTCTTTCTCTAAATTCCGTGTTCAGATATGTTGAAGAATAGAAATATCATTCAATAAACTGTTGAGACTTTTCCATCCACACATCACAAACACATGATTAAGACTTGAGCTTCACATCTTAAATTGAAATTGAAATCTTTGATAAATTTTGTGGTTTACTTATGATGAGGATCCAAACAGAATCTTTGTTGATCTAAAATCCCTGTATCGAGGAAACAACCAAGCGTGTTACAAATCTTTGAAATAGATTTATAATTTATCTATAGATTGCTGATGTTTATAATAAACCTCAATATTTTCATGAGAAATTAGCTTTGTCTCCCCATGCGATTTACACATTATCGTCTATGATACCGTAGTCCGCTGTATTCGACAGAACAAGAGAATGAAATGAAACTGAGGAAGCTGGCACTTTAGAGGATGCTCTAAAACTAAGACGCAGATAAATGTAGAGTCACATCCAGATATAAAAAGAAGAAGAAAAAGACATTGAATCCAAAATCGTAGCTGTGGATGGACTATGTACATATAAAGGATCGCGAGTAAATATAAAGGATGCGATGTACGCAATATCGAAGAAATTGCAAGGGAGACACATAAACGAAAGGAGAACAGTGATGAAAAACAGACCACTTCATTTTTAATTCTTCTCTTAGGAGTCCGGGTGGATGAGGTCGTCGCTTCCTGTGAAGCATCGGGAACTCGGACTTAGCAGTCAGTCACAATTCCTTGCTCCCAAAAACCCACCCGTATTTGCTTCATGATGGTTTTCGTTGCTGTTATACCTCAATTCTGTCGTAGGGGAAAATTTGAGAGTCTTTACTTGAACGTATATATGCTTACGTTACGGTTCATGACGTTATCAGCCATATGATATTCACTAATGGGAATAAGAAGCTGAAATAACAAAATCATGGACAAATCAAGTAGACATATGTTTGGTATGATCACATTAAGGAAGAAAGTAATGGGGTAGGTAGTTCATCACAATCCTCGAAATGATATACCATACCTACGTTACACTAATTATCAACATCCAACGATATCAATACTATTGTAACATCCAAAAATCAACCAGTGTATTGGGAAGCGATTATTCGGGTCTTATTCCATCACTGATAACGGGAACAATTTGTATGAGCAATGAATTGCCCGCATTCTCTGATCCGCATCACTTGTGCTACGTTCAGAATCACATACACACTACGTTTCGGGAACTTGAAAGAAGCATGAACTACTATAGAACTCAATACGGGAACTTGAAAGAAGCATGCACCACTATAGAACTCAATACGAAAACAGAAATGCGTGGCCGGCATGCACCACTATAGAACTCAATACGAAAACAGAAATGCGTGGCCGGCAGGATTCGAACCTGCGCGGGCAAAGCCCACATGATTTCTAGTCATGCCCGATAACCACTCCGGCACGGCCACTTGTTGTGAAGATAATGTAAAGCACTTAATTTAATTTATAGTTTGATTAACTTTTCTAAAAGTTTTTGTCTATGTGCATATGATTGTGTTATATCCAGAATACAGCGCTAATCGAAGAAAACCAGATCTTTGTAAATCTCAATCGAGTGAAATGGGACTATCGATGCTGGAGGCATTATTGAAAGGTACGCGTCTGAGTGGTTGCCTGAAGGGATGATGTACGATGTTATGACCTGTCCTGTACAGGAACACACGTTAGGTAAGCATGCCAATTCTTTCACAAGATCAGTTACAGTGAGTCTAATCAAACTGAGAAACATTGACAGAAATTCATTACAGCTATTTCAACCTCTGGTGCATCTTGTCCAAAGTATGAAGCTGTTTTCGGACAGAGATTGTTTCTCCTCTTTCACCATGTAAAAGAACGCCGGGCACAACAAACAACTGTCGCACTTCCCCGCAGATGCACCGTAAACAGTTCTGTATGAGAGAAAACTGAAGGTACTATCAATTAATCACGTACGTACAAGAATGTAGGTTTTGTAGAGTGACATATTCCATGATGTGATGGTATTTGAAGGACATCAAACCGATTCCAGTTATGCAGCACATTAGCTTTTGTTTGCAACAAGGAGGAGTTGTATTATAATTTAAAGAACGAACCATCTTGAGAGAGGTTGCTTTGCACCAACCATCATATTCAACGATCTTCACCAAGAAAGCATTGACAGTTAGACAGACCAGAATGTAACCCTCTCCCAGCGCATGGAGAAGTTTCTAGAATAGCTAAGGCGAAGAGTATAAATTCCTGAAGGTGGCAATAAGCCATTTAGTTGAGCTTGGGACGTGTGTATGAATCGAGGTGGTATTGAAGTTGCTGCAGCTTGTGTGTGGGGTGAGCTTCAGCGTCCTCATGGAAATGGAAAGCACTTGCCCGATCTGCGTCGAGCCTTACCCTGAAACATGGGAGCCGAGCCTTTGGCTCCAGTGCTCGAAATGTTTCCGCTCTGTGCACACGTCATGTGTCGAAGAGAAGGGCTATTTGAAGTTCAAGGTCGATCCTGTCTTTTTCATGTGTTTTGATTGTTTACCGAAAGCCGCTTCGAAGGAGGAAGTGCGACCATTTGTGCATGCAGCTGCAGAAGGAGAACATGTGTCTCAGAAGAAAACAATGTCTGTGACTAGCCGCATGATTCTCTATCGAACTGGACCGAGGTCACTACGCCCTGGAAAGGAGCAAGGTGGGAGCTGCTTAAAGGTTGTAAGGAACGTTTTCATCTTCACAAGAAGCATTGAGTTGAGTTTTAACGGAACGTGGTACTTCTTTAGAAAAGGCGGGAGTTCAAGAAGCAGAACTATGGAGACCACCGAGTTATAGAGTAGGACTACTGATTTTTAAGGCAATTTACTTCTTTGTCTTGATTCGTAGAATAGTCAGAATACGATCTTGCCCAAATTTTCCCCTCTATGGTTGTCATCGACATCAACTGACGGAGCAAATTTGGATGCAGATGATGATACAAGGCAAGAAGTCGATGAGCACCAAGCGAAGTAGTGACAGGAGTATGGAACGTACAAACTACACCGACGCCCAAGCTCTGTCCGATGATCTTTCTGATGTTCTAGCATCAGTATGGAAAGCAAGAAGGAGCAAGTGAATTGAGAAAGATCGAAGAGTGTGAGAATGATTCTCTTCTCTTGGACCTTAGAAATTTCATCTTCTTTGTGAACTTTTAAGCAAGAACCGTGGTGAAAGTGAGACTATAATGCAACGAAGATGTTACTGTTGTTGCAGAAATATAGAAGTAAATATATGTATAAAGGCTCGTCCAAAACGATATGTGTCATTGGTGATAGTCGATTCTATATGTTCGGGACTGGGTATCTGTACAAATTTTTCAGCATCAAGAATAGACAATCAATAATTATGCCCTGCAGTAATCCACACATTCTCTTCCATTTTTTAAGGCCGAAGTCTCGTAATTCTGCAACCCAACAACTGAAGAATGTGTGGTGATGCAAAAAGCTCATAACATTCATGATTTTTTCAACACGGAACTGGTTGGTCTAATAAATATCTGTCACTGAGTAGCCTGTTTAAAGAACACTTGTGTCTCCTATTCCATTCCACCCTCTCATGAAATAATTTTGACTCTAGAATCCGTATCGGAATTGTTTTGTGTAAGTGTGGCATGAAATTTTTTTCCCTGTTTTATTTCAATCTCCAACATCTAAGTTACTCGATGGACGTTGAATTGCGCAGTATGAAGTATATATATCAACCGAAATGTTCTCTTGTTTGGTATGATGACATATTATGATCATAAAATCTTGTGGAGACTCCAAGAAAGATTCTCAAAATTTAATGTCACCCATCAGCCATGCAATCCTCTACAAACTGATGGCTTTATCTGATTATTCACAAAATTATGAAATTAATTTGACCTAGACATATTATTCAGATTGCAATTTGGTAGCATTATATTACTACAAAATAGTATTAATTTTTGAATAAGCTTTATTTAATATGGTCATTATTGAAAATACTACACGTGAACACATTTCTATATATGAGGACTGAGTTGAAACATTAACTTGCTAAAATCACGTGGTTAATCGTAGTAAATGTGACATCATACTATGTGATGATTATAAGAGATATATCATACGTTTACAATTGTGAAAGATTGGTCTTTTCAAATTCTATATATTGAACATATTTTTTATTTACAGAATTTTGAGATTTATAGTAATTTTAAGTATTTAAGATTGGAAAATATTTTGAGCCATAATTATATGTACAAATATAAAATTAAAAAAAATTCATTTCTATCTTAGCCAAAAAATTCACAAATATGTGTAAACATATACATTTATGAGAATTCTCGTCTTTCATCTTATAATCCTCCGTCAACCATATGTTTCAAAATAACATGTGATATACATTTGGACTTTAAACTGTTATTGGTGCTCAATCTTAAATTCAAATAAATAAGAATTTTAGCAAATTTTAGCACAACAGAATAGGTTTTCAATATATGAATATAGCATCTTAAGGTACCGCCAAACTGTAAAATTGTTATGAACATTCAGGTGTTGAGATTGTAACTTGAATGAGATTTAGTTACATTGACTTCATATTGAACCTATGCTTCATCTTAAATTGTGAATAGCCCATATCAATATAAGTAACTTCACGTACCATACAGGTGAGCCACAAAAGCCTGGTTAGGACTTTTGCGCTAAGTTCGAGTATTAGTTCATATTTTCTTGAGTTCTACTTATGCTATGTTTTCTTGTTAAGATAACCGTCTGCAGGTATGAACGTATATTGTTAAGTAAAAGCACCAATTCCACAGATGAAAATCTTTCCTTGCTTAAAATCTCATTATTGAGTCATCTGATTATGGACTTTGAGAAAACTTTGAATCCAATCTGACTGATTTAATATCAAAGGTCTTGAGCCTCACTATACATACTACTTTGACAATTAATATAATAGATTTTGCATTTGTTACACAAATTTAAGGAAACTATGTACTTGTTTAATATAATTTTATTCTTGTAAGGTTTCATTCCTTAGACTATTCAAACATCATGGAATCGAATTTTCAGTATGAAATGCAACGAAATAATAAGTAAAGCATCTAGTTCCTAAATAACATCATTCAAAGTCAGACCCGTTATACATGTGAATTTTGATTTTACACAGTTAGTGGTCACCATCTGGCATGAGAAGTATTGGATTAGTAATATCATATTCAAAGTTTGCATCGAATGAGATTCTTGAAGATCTAAAACAATGATATCAAATTGTATCTTTTGCATACATCCTAGTCTTTATTAACATAATCTCCCTTATAAGTAATAATCATAATTGAGTATCAATTATCTGTGTCAATCAAAGTACTTAAGTGAGGAACAGTAATGACATCTTTCTCTTCGATTGTATGGAGGGTAAGATATTTCTTCGTATAAGCCTTGAGCAATATAAATTCACATCATTGTGAGCACAAGTAGCAAATAACCGGATGGTAACTTACAGCTTCTGATTGCATTGACAAACTGTAACAACTTCTGCATTTTAGACTCGGTCAGATATTCTGTGTACACACCTGACACAAACTGATCATTATTCATTTGATAGTCTTCTCCCTACGCGATGAGTGGATGATCTAAATGGCCGTGATAAAATATGCTTGGTGTGATTTGAGAACCAAATACTAACCAAAATATTGTTCTCCCAGTAACCACTACGTTAACCTGTGGTGGATTTTTTCTTGGATTTGATCTTCCTCTTGCTTTTATTCTCAAGCTCAGCATAAACTGCAGCACATTGCAATGCAGCTCTTGCTTTGATGGCAGCCTGTGCAGCTACGACAGCTTTTTGGTTGGCAACTTTTCTAGCTGCATCAGCTGTTCTGCGAGCCACACAAGCCCGCCGTTCTAGTGTCTCCAAATGTGTGCTCCGCATCTGCAAGATTTAACAGATTACCTCATAAACTTAGATTCTGGATGTCAAATGCTCCGACAAGTAATAGATTTCATAGTGGGGAATGATGCAAGATAAGACTGGTCCGTTAAGACTGGTATTTGTATTCCATGGTCGGCTTTTTGTGTCAAAGAAATGCCTTCAAAGGAAGATATGAGTCGAAGACCACGAAAATCGCAAATCATTTAGATTTCGTACGGTACTTCAATCCTATGAAAATGGCAAAAATCTTCCACAAGCAGCCAAAGCGCATCTTTTCAAGACTTTTTTGTATCATAGAAGCACAGTCGCGATTGTAAGTTGACTCTTCACAAGAAGTTGTATTTCGACGAATTATTTCGATCGGAGATTCCAACCTTGTACTTGCATATGACCTTCATTCTTCCAAACTCGAGGCAGTCTTGCAGGTACCTTGTTGTAAGATCGTTCTCTGTTAAGAAATCGCAGGACTGATGAAAATTACTAATCAAGTCTACCACTGTTACCGATTGGACCACGGTATGGATCGTTTATATTATAGTAAACATGTATATGTGACTGGATAGCGTAACATACATCCATTAGAGCATTGGAAAATTACCTCGTCATGATGAAATATATCGTCGAATGTGCCACAAGTAGTAGTTTCGAACGATGCCAATCCATCATAGTTCAGTTCTGCAGATATCTCATTGAGATGGTAATTTCTTTCGGAGAATGATGAGAGCGTATCACAATCTCCTGGATTATTGTAGATTTGGTTTCGAGCACCAGGATCGGTAGTGAGGTTGAACTTGCTACAATGATCCCAGCTGAGATCTCCTGGTAAAAGATCATTCATGAGCTCTGCCGTCTTCTCGAAGTCTTTGGTAATGTTCTTCAGATCTTCTCCATAATCTCCATTCGTATGTCCACAAACGCTCCTGCATTCGTCAAAATCTACATACTCACCCCTTCCATTAAACTCCTCGTTGGGTTCCTCGATTGAAAGAGCATATGAAAGAAAATCTCCCACAGTGTCCCCCTGATAATTGACTTCAACTTGATGAACATCCAAACTTTGCCGCGTATTCAAGATCAGAGTTCCGGAGCAATCAGGACACATAAACGAAGAGGTGACACCCCACGAATTGTTGTGCTTGTTTAGGCAACCCAAATGAACCTGACGAAGGCAACTAGAGCACTGGAAGCCAAGATCAGTCATACATCTTCCCGGCATTTCCAGAGAGCAAAGGGAGCAGCTGTCCATCAGCAAGTGTAGAGGTCCCAAAAAGAGTGTTTCTTTTCAGAACCAGCGAAATACAAGTGCACGATAACTGGAACGTTCTGATGAAGCTTTTCTCGTATAAAGCCTAGTCTTCGAGCAATGACCAGTCACCATCAAAACATCACTTTCAACGGCAAAAGGCAAATCTGCACCTCTCTAAATAATTGAACAAGAACAGAAGTACGAAGTAGCAAAAGGAGACAGAAAAGATTATCACGGAGTCTGAAATGAGTCTACAACTTAGTAAGGCATTTGGTCGTCTGCCATAATTTATCGGATTGGCTTCTAACACCAACGCCTCTCAAAGGAAGAAATAGGAATTTTCCGCACGAAGAATTCTAGAAGTTGTGGGCTTAAAGGGTAAGCTGTGTTTCAAATTTACAACTGTCACGCGGTAACAGTTGTAAATTTGAAACACAGATTTGTTCTGTTTACCGAACATCCGACACATTCTCTATAGAATATCGAGTATTGAATGGTTGATGAAATTGCGGGAAGAAAAACTAAACTTAGTCAATATACCTACGAAACGACTAGGGTCCTTAATTCCCATGAAGTGCAAGAAGGGTGATGCTTATGTTTGTATCTGGAAGGGAGTCACCTGTCGGTTGATGTCTCAACACAAGTACCTGTTTGCATAAACTTGTACAATTGATTCCTAAGCTGTGAATGTAGCAGTTGGACAAGCATGATTGTGATAATCTTTGTAAGATCTTCTTGTAGTTCTGTGTATCAGTAATGACGTAGATTCAAAACGAGTGACCAGAGTATGATTTCATTTGGCACATGCGAAGCTGATGACGGTGTTTCAAAATGTCAACTTTCTAGTACTCGGAATGAATACTCTCCTATTCACCATAAAAAACGAACTGAGTATGATTGTTTCCATGTGGTACCCTGAAAACTGAATACATACTATATAACATTCTAACATGACTTCTTTGTGTGGATAAAATATAAAAAATGAAAGACGAGCTAAATATATATCCTTTAACATTCTTAAAACAGCACTCTGTTCTATGAAGAAACTCTAAGACATAATAGACGAACCATATACTTTTAAAGATTCTAGAATTACATCCTTTGCGTGAAGAAACTATGAAAATTTAAGACGAACTAGACATACACTTTCTAGCATTCTGGAATTCACAATGCCTTGTGTGAGGAAGCTACAGAAAAGTATAGAATAACGGAATATAAATTTAAACATTTTGTAACTTAACACTCCCGGATTTTGAATCTATGGCTAATTAAACAACCACTAAGTATATTATTATCTTCCGAATTTTCCGGAATCTGTTTGTACTCAAGAAGTCCATTAAGCTCAGCTAATTATAAATTTTCTTTGAAGTCTTTAGTAGAATGTTCATATTCTGAAATGGCAACAACAGTAATAAAGTCCACGCCGACTGAATCCTCCTTTGATTGGACACGTACTAGACTTAATCATCTATCTTATTCATGATTGTTGACTGGAATGGGTAGGTATTTTACAAAACCCTATTATTATTACAAACTTGGTCTCTAATCCTCGAGGAAAATATTGATGTTTGTTCCGATGAAGGGGATGTGACAGCATTTGAACATTTTTGAAATAATTCTTGTAATTTAAGCTTAATTTTGTCTCTTCTATATGCAAAAATATCTCATGTTATACGTATAATAAATAAGATCTTTCGTTAAAATCTTTTACATTTTTTTTTTTATGTAAGATTATATATTATGTCAGGATTTTTTCTCTCCTTGATCAGTAAATAATACTGTAATTTTCAATTCAAAGATATTTTGCATTTTAACAATCACTATATAGCTAAATTGAATATATTTTATTGTATACCTTAAGAGTGATTGTGACTTATTATCACATCAGAATCTATAATGATTATAATTAATAGAATAGTATACATGTAAATATAATGATTGCCTTTATGCTAATCTCCTGGTCCATGCAACGTTCATGAAATCATATCCTTTATGTAGCAAATTTCACTAAAAATTAGATCTACGATAAATTCATCTAAGGTAAAATTTTAAAAATGAGTTGATCAAATTCTATATAATTATTTTTATGAAACATCTAAAACGATATCAAAAAATTATGGAAAAAATTCAGTTGAAATTAATAAATTATTTGTGAAATATGATCGTTGCGCTAATAATATTTGATGCCATATGCAAAATCAGGAAGATAAACTATGTTAGATTATTGCTAAGGAAAATGGCAGCAAGTCAATATACTCATCATCAAAGTTTAATCATTTTCAAGAATCAAATTTTACTTGAAAAACTTAATTTCCTCCAAAATAATTTGACGTTTCAACCATGGAAGATGGTATATTGATCTACTCACCTTATTGGTGTGAAAATCTTAGATTAATCATATCAGACATCTCGGAGTTGTCATAACTCATAACTTATTACATAAAAATCAACAAGCATATGAATTTGAGAATTGAGTCATATTAACGTTTTTAACTATCAATACTTAGGTAATTTATCCTTGCAAAATTTTTCAAACTATCTGAAACTGAATATAACAAGTATAGTCTATTAAAGAATCAATCATTCGAAACTATAGGCTCACAAAATAAATGTTGAGAGTTAAAAAAATGAACAAAATTTTCATAAATAGTCTTCATGCATGTATTTGCACGAAAATATTGGTAAATATATTTTTTCAAAGAATGGAAATTCAACAGTCATGTTTAGAGCCAATGATTATTGATTGAGGATTGTAACCACTATCACCAAAAGAAATAAAGGACGAAAGTGGACAACTTCGTTGAGCAGATTGTCAGAGACAAGAAATCGACAACGAACCTAACCACGGTCACCACTAAACAAGACAAGCAAATGACAACGAACCTAATCAGGATCACTACCAAACAAGACGTTAAGTTAAAGATAAGTGAGGGAATGTGAATCTAAAAGAAACATGAAAATCAATTTCCGTAACTATACGATAATAGACTATCTCCAGATCGCCATCTTTGCATAGGCCTAACCACTGATATGAAATAACAAAACGCGAGAAGAATGTCATGAAACCTTACAAATGAAGAAGCACCTAAGAAGAAAGAAGGCAAAGGAACTTCTCGCACTTATACATTCTTTGACTGCGAGAAATCTTTGTTCTGTTCTCTCCTTCCTAGTCCAGGATCGTACGGTGCCTCTCGAATCCATCTGTGTTCAACTATGCTCTCAATTGTCGAAGTGCAAAAGACCAGGCAAACAATTAAATTATGGTACACTGCACAAGGGTAACTACGAACATGACATGTTGCTGCGCGGTCAGACTTGAACTTAAACGTGATAGATGGACAGTAGTCGGCTTCAGGGGCACTCTAACGCGGTAAGGCACTGTGGTTTGTAAGACCGGCACAATCACGCTGTCCACATTTGCCAAGGTGGTCGCTGTAATCGTCTCCCCCTTCAACTCAATACTTACGATCACGTTTAGATAGTCTCCGGTTGGAAATGTGCTCTGAGCCATAGACTGATGATTGCGACAGAGTCGCAAACTATCGAGAGAATAGTCACGAAATATGAGGAAAAAACCTCTATCTAGGATTGATTTCAGTCGTCCAAATTCTCCTGAGCAGGGTGCTTCTATATGAGTTATTTAAGAGTAATTTCAAGCACTCTCGTTCCAAAAGCTGCCCACTATTACAGGTAAAAATTACAGCGAGCCCTGTTTCGAAATTCGGTCCGCTTTTAATGGCATCTCATGTCAAGTTTTTGCTCCGATCGTGGACACGGTTTTTTTATCCACTTTTTTTCAAAAAATTTGCGATCTTTCTCTCTCCTTCCTTCCTTTTTCTTCCCGCAATAGAGAGTATGTGGCTACTAGAGAAATTACCAATCGCGGATGGCATCAGCAACAACGATTCAAAAGTCTATCGTTGTCCACACATTCATTTCTCTTCCATAGGTGCAGGCAGGCATTCTGTTCAAATTATGGAATTCTGAGAGTGTTGGAGTGATCAAACTTTTTTTCCATTTTGTTATCAGCTCGTATAGGAATACCTTGTCGTCCTCTTCATGTAGCCACAAGCTTATCTAGCGCATATGTTTGCGAACTTACTCAGAATATCACTGCATCCTCAATGATCCGTGGTGTGGCGCGCGTGTAGATTCTAACAACCGATTCAATCTCTGAAATCCCGGAAGTCGGATATGAGGTATTCTAGTAACCTGTTGAGAGCGAGTTGTGAACTCTAAAGTTGTAAAGTTCTCCTTGCTACCATAAGTACATAAGTACTCAGTCAAACGCACGCTCAAAAAGTATCTCAAATTTCGGACACAAGTAGATGGTTGAAATTTCGAGTTTTTGTTGTTGTTCTATGTTGGCCGAGCACCTTGCAGGTTGGATCATCATGCCTGTCTTCCGTGAAAAATTCTTTTCCTCGCCTACGCAGCATGGGATGAGAATGTCTTCCCTACTGTCTCACGTGATATTTGTTTTACTTAACTGAAGAAATTGATTGTACATATGACTTTCCGACCATAAAAGTTTTAGAAATAATGAAGTTCATAGGCTTAACATTCACAGCATGACTCACAGTTGGTCACACAGGGAATTTAGATGTGTAACTTTGTATACAAAGTCTCACAATTCCGTTGAAAATTGTGAGACTTTGTATACAAAGTTACACAATTTTCAACGGAATTGTCAGCAGTGTGGAATCTGGGGATGAAGACGTGATAAAGATGGCATTGGCAAAGCAGTAGTTTGACAAAATGATCTGAGAGAGTTGTTAATTCGACTCGTGCTGTTTGAAAATAGTTTCACGCTGCATGTAAATTCGTGTTTACTTACTCCAGAAGCCGGTTGCCAGATGGTTTCCGGCTTATGTGCTTTCCGCTGCCCACCTTTTCTTTAAGTAAATCTGTGATTATAGGACGAAAACTTCCTCAGAGCTTAGTATTCGTCAACCATCTTCAGGCAACAAAGGTCCTGCAGAAATTGTCCTCTACTATAGAATCAGATGCAGAAGAGACTAAGATCGTTCCTCCTGAATCTAAAAACATTCCTTTCGATTATGACTACTGCATTCAACCTCTACAGCTACTGCAACTGCTCGGTTATGAAGATAACAACAGAAATCTAATCGACCTCAGATACTCACGATCGTTACAGAGACTGTTCTCTAAGATCGCTTGTTTTGAACCGTTCAAAACTTTAGACCTCCCCAAAGCGAATGGGTTTTGTGTGGCGCAATTGTGGTGGTTAGGAGACTGAACCATTCACCGGTCACTTCTCGAATCCTACCCGAGTAGAAAGTAGAAGTATCAATCTTCAAGTTTCCAACGCATGTTCCTCAGAATCAACACAAACGAAACAGGACACGGCGGTCGGAAATGTACAGACCCGATTCAGATCAAATAACAAGACTGTGACATATGGGTATCATTACCAGGAGATTGATAGGACCCAAGACAGTCTCGAACAGTAACCCAATTTTGCTTCTGCGAGGACGGATGGTTCTTCCATAAATTAAAATCCAATAATAAAGGCAAAAATACACTATAATCAGAACGGAAAGGTAGCCTTGACTTCTTACAGATTACAATGAACAGCAGAAAACCAAGTCCATGGAGAACCCGGAGCAAAGTTTCGACCTAGAGCAAAACAGCACAGAACCGAGATTGATTCGGTCTCACGTGACTCAGCAGTCACATGCACCCTCGTTTCTGAGAAAGACTCCATCGACTGGTGAAGGGGACAGAGCTTCTTCAGAAGCCAGACTTCAAATTCGCATTCACTAAAATGTCTCTCATCACAGATGGAGGTAGACACGGGCAGGTTACGATGCCAGAAGGTCTTACAGGGCACAAACTTGATTGCCCTCTGAAGGAAACTAACCGGAGCGTCCACGTCTATGTACCACGTACCAGTGACCTGGCCCACCAGTGACTGAATCTTTGTGAGAAGTGCTGAATACCGCCGACAGGTGGTCGAGATCGACCTGGCTGACTTGCCAAGTGGTTTGGCTACTCCATGACACGTAGCATGTTTCTGCCAGCTAGATGCATGGTCGATGGTCGTCACTGATGTGGTTCGTCAGCTTCGGTACTCTCCGACAGTAGAAATTAGTCAAATTCTGCGATCGGAGCATTAAGTCGGAAATCGATCAGCTGAGTCTCTTCGTTGTACAGTACTGAGATATCTAATTTTTGGTAGCGATAATTCTAATCGTTTACAAGCTGCTAGAGTTTTTTTTCGGTGACAGTTTGTAGATCCTGAAAGAGACATCGAGTTCACAATGGCGAAATTGCAGCTATGGGTTGTGCTTATCACCCTGCTTCTGGCAACGGCCACAGTTGCTGTGAGCGCCGATGGTTGGATTCCATCGTTCGGGCAGAAGAGTACCCAAGACAAGGCCAAGGATCAGGCCGCGCAGACTGTAGAGGGCGCTAAATCGTGGACGGATTGGGCTTCTGAGAAAGTTCCCTACTTCTCCAACTCTGCTGCAAAGTACGCTCAGTTCTCTCATCCTTGATTTCTCGTTATGTCATTCATGTATAATTTAAGCGTCATCTTGGGTACCGAACTCTGTATGCGCTCAGTGCTTTGGAATGGCAACAACGAATCAATTCAGTTGTACTGTATATTAACTGTTCTTTCCTTCCCGTGACATAGTTTCTGGATTTCCTGGTATTATCATAGTTTCATGATTGTTGCTAGAGCTCTTCTCCACAGCTTTGGGGAAAATGAGACAGGGACATAAGAGGTAGTACAGACGCAGAGTGCCAAATTAATTCTTCTCAAAACACATCCCATTTTGAGTTCGGCTTTCCTCATATTCAATGTGCACTATTTACCCACTATCAAAAACAGGTATTGGGATTGTAATCTTCTGACGAATTGTTTTTTGAATTTTACAACTCAGATAATGGTTTTGAAACATCAATACCTTGTGAATAATATATGACGTATGTCGTAGTGTGACATATTTTAATTTTTATACGCATAATAGTATTTGGCAATCCCGGCATGTCTAGTTGTCTGGAAATGCTGTAAAGTCGTAGTGTGGAAAGTGAATCAACAAAGGATGCGAAAATTCTAGCAAATCGTGTCTAGTTGGAACCAAACTAGCAACATGGGGCTAGGCTCCACTGCATGAAGGACTTGTCGGTTAATTTCTCACAACAGGATTTGCGTTTGAAGTAGTCGTCTAGAAGCGTCATGAGGGGCAGATGGAATGCTGCAATCTTCGTTGGAGGTCACTACTCTTATTCTCGCTACAATGAACTACTGACAGGCAAACCAACGAAAAGCTCGACGCGTCGAAAGGTGCTGTCAAAGATGCTGCCTCAAATGTCGCCGGAGAGACCGAGAAGAACGCGGGAGCAACCAAAGGAACCGTCAGCGACTACGCTACCGAGGGACTTAAGAGAATGACTTCGACCAAGGATCAACTCCACGGCGCCTCTGTGGGTATGTGACAGTTCCGTGTTTTATATTCTGTAACTGTGATAGTAAAGGATTTGTCACAGGGCAGCAGTAATAAGTCCTTTACTATCATAGTCACAGAATTCTCAAATCCTACAAATTCTCGTCTACATCGGAATTTGTGTTTTAAAAATGGTAGTCTTTAAATGAATGCCTAAGTGGTGTGAGCTATGGAGGGTGAGCTTAGATTTTTTGAGGCCGTTGATGCTTGACAAGCCATGAAGTACCCATAGTTTTAAATCAGACACCTTAACAATCTGCTAGCGGGTAGGCCAAAAAATGTGAGATTTTAATTGAATTTTTAGATCTTCTTCTTTTGTGATCTGGAACATGACTGGGAATTTCTTGTGGCAGGATTCATCCAAAAGTGGGGAGGGTGGGCAAAGGACAACGTTGGTAAATTCTACCCGTACGGTCCGATGGCCCAGAAGGCAGCGGATGTAGTTGTTAACACCGCCGAGAAGACAGAAAGTGGCGCCACCTCTGCAGCTGATTCTGCGAAAGAGAATGTGGAGACAGCTGAGGAAGAAGTTGCCAAGAAGACAGACGAGAAGGAATTATAGACTGCCAGATGAAATTTTTACGTGACAAGAGATCGGCAGCAAATGAGGCCTATCAAAGAAGGAAATATTTTCCCGATCCGGTACCTGGACATAATAATAGAAGATTGATGGAGACGGTTAGCTGTAGAATATTATTCCGCATCACTCCATGCTCTCTCTTGATGGTACAGAACGCATTTCCAGAAGTTTAGACCTCGACGTTTTGTACATATGCTATGATTTACAATTTGTGTTAATAGTAAAGCGCTTTTTGTACGTAAAATGGATAGTGAAAATGCTGGATTTTGCACATTCGTGCACGAAATTGGAGAATATGATAATGTTACTATTTCGTGTCAGATGTGTACAAATTACGCACATGTCTTGTCATCATGATTTTAACGTTAGATGTGAAATATAGAGCACGTGAGTTTAAAACTGACACACCCAATATGCAGACGAAATATCTGTACACACATGTTTTCTCAATTCTAACTACATTACCTATTCTAAAAATCATCGTACTTTCTCATCCACTTATGTAAGCAATGTGCAATAAACCGCGCAAAAGGACTGTTCAAAATTACATTCTAAAATATCTACATCTCATACTGCATTTACAATCTGAAAATTCGGATTCCTATTAAACGTAAATTTCCTACTAATTGCTACAGAACTGATACTCTGTACGCAGAGCAGAAATATATTGCCAGCTATCTGCTACGTATACATTTAAACCTACTTCAAAACAAACATTACGATATACCTTCGTAAGCAAAACATTGCACTCATAGATGAAAGACGAAACAATGTAACGTACCAGTCACCACCTGCTAAATATTATGGAGCAAATCTGCGAGCCTGTTGTCGAATTCGAACCATTCGGTGAAACTATGTCAAACGTACTGAAGTAAACTTCGCTCTTTGATGAGACAGGAGTAGGATATGATATTATGTCGGTATCGAGTGAACTTGTCATCTCGGCCATTTCAACCGGGAATTGCTGCGCGCTCTCAGAGAGCAGGTGAAGCTTATCTGTCACCGCACAAGTTGGATATAGACACGAAAAATCTGCTCATGGATGAGAAGTAGTTTGTAACCTCGTCACGTAACCGACGAGGATGTTCTTTTTACGAGAAGTAAACGTCGTTTACGATTCACGTGATGTAACAGATACGAGAATCGTGTACGCATCTTATGAGCACTGGCGGTGAACATACCGCAGGCCTGTACACAATGCAAGGCTACAATATGTGGCTGTAGGAGAGTATGAATCCCAATGAGAATGTCCATCCATATATCAGATCATGCTCAGAGCTCGAATCTGCCTCGATTACAACGACATCTACTGCGAGGTAGATGTAGTTTGAAGTATGATGTAGAATGACCTTGAGCAGATGAAGGTTATTCTACCTTCCCCTGCCAGGTGTGTTCAGGTCTCGATACGGAAATCGATACATCATGATCAACCGTGGGTAGTTCGAGTTGTCACAGGCGCCGCGTGTGACGTTTCACCCTTCCGTAAGCCATGGCTACCGAACTCAGCGTGCATTCTCTAGTTCACTGCAAAGTTAAGATCAGTCGAAAGTCCAGAGTAGTGGAAGTCGACAGACCAGTATTCCCCTGACAAAACTTAAAGTTGCCCATGCTGAATATAGCGGAAAATGTTAAAACTGATACTGCCCTCCTGTAAGGAACCTAGTACGGCTGAAAATCTGTAAACAACACTTGTCTACTTTTATTCGGCCGAGGAAAGAGAAATCTGACTTTATGAGCTGCCAGTCAAAAGGTTCCTGGGGCTGATATGCCCCAGGAACCTTTAACCTTATAACTCAACTTTAACTCTTCAGAGTAGATCTGATTGCCTGAAGACACTGCTAGTTCAGGACTCACGTTCGCCCAATCAAGGTCAACCAAAACGCATCACATGTACTTCTGAAAACGTGCTGTACCTCAGACTTGAAGTCGAAGCTACGGTAGGGCTCAGTACCCTTGCTTAATCATACAGAGATGACATACTGACAGATTCCGCGTGTCCTATTGCCTTTCCTAATCTTCCAGAACTTGTCACCTATCTGGGTATCGACAAAGTCACATCAACTGCCAGTTGATAACTTTATGTCCAAATCCCGAGCAAAATAACTTTCTTAAAAGACTTGGATTCATGTCAGTCTGTCGTCGTTTAACAGAGGAAACTTTTTTGAATCTACATGAGACTTGAGAAAAAAATTGCATCTAAACGATACAACAGAAGTTCTGATTCAAGGCATGTCAGTATAGCGAAATGGGCCACGTCTTGTCATGAAGAATCTGTACATAAAGTTAAAGGCAGGTGGGCCTAATGAGATTGGTTGTTCATAGATTCGAAGAAAGATTTAGTGAAAGAATCGATTTTCTGGCCTAAAGCTCTACAAAAGAGATTCTAGACCCTCGCCCGTGCTATACACCGGATAGGATCGTCTGCTGTACATGAATCTCATGATGTATATAAATAAATCTTCACGAACTGCACAGTTTGATCGTGAAGGCATAGCACGGTTGATTATTTGTCACAAGAAATACCCAAGTTTCAGTAAGGATAATGGAGTTTAGGTAGCGAAAAGTCCGGAAGCCAAGCACTTGATTCATGTGTACTTAACGTGTTCCGTTCCAGTTTCCTTCTAACAGACACCTCGATCATTTGAAGATGGATTGCTGAATGTTCCCAGCTAAACATCCCTCTTCTACTAAGAATGATCAGGTTTCCGTAAAGAAGCGTTTGCAGTGGACAGCAACCTCAGAATAATAGTGCTTTTGATACCGTCAAGTTCAATGTCTCCAGATCTGCAATATAATCTTACTGTATGATGAAGGAATTCGCATCTGAGTCTTCCTCTTGCATGTAGGGACTTATCCTTTTCTAAAAGGACTTGAGTAGCAATTGAGCTCGCTTTTACCAATCAGTCGAATTCTGTCAACAGTGGGCTTTGCCTTACCTTTGAAGATGACCGACTGAATGCTGTATCATCGCCTTCCACGAGCGGGAGGGGCGAAATGACTTCTTCGCTGTACTCTGTCGTGGGCGAGAGAGGAGTTGAGATCTCATTTGGTCCAGCAGAAGGAGGAAATCGATCAGTTTTTCAAGACTCAGGTACGTCCCAACTTTGTCAGCGCATGCGCGTTATTCTTCACGAAGATTGTGTTGACATCGCGTTTGTAATATTGGTTAAGGGCTACGTTTTATTTCATACCGTCCGTCAAGTATCAGGAATTGAGCTAAAACCCGATCACAAATTTCGGAGAATGCGTGAGCAACACCTGCCTCGATCTCAAAACGTTCGAATCTAACAACAAAAGTCGCCCACTTCTACGCTTTTCTGCTGTAACTGCTACCTCTGCTGTAACTGCTACATTCAGAGAATGCGACCTCAGGTTTCTGAATCTGAGTTCTGGAATCAGCATGAACTACGTGCAGTTGCATTCTGACCCTGAACTTGCGGACTGAAGGAACGGCACTAAGCACAGAAACGCCTTGAGATAATGAGCCAGGAAACCACGTCGTGGGATCGAGAAGAGGAGAGGATATCGGAGGACTCATGGCTCCTCAAATCTTCCAGTCCTTAAAAGGAAGAATTTCCGAAGTGGGTTACCACCCGGCACTTGCCGATTGATCCACTGGAGGCAACAAGAAGAATGTAGGAGTGGATGCGAAATCACAGCTGCAGCTCTGAAGAGCGAGAGAGAAAGCATTCAAAACCTGGCACAAGATACCGTCAATGTATGTGAGTAAGTATGGACACGAGATTCAAGTACCCTGTGAGGCTCGAGCTGAGAGAGGTAAGCAGAGCAGCAGCTTCGAAGTCAGCCAGCGCTTTAGACTCAGAAGACCTGCTCTGCTCCCCTCTCTCCACTGGAGCCACAAAGAGCGTTCACACGCAGCCGCAGCCGCACTCGCCTTCCCATGCTTTGAAACCCCAGACCGAAGCTGAGCTTATATAGTGGATCAAACAACCGACTCAGTGCCCAGGCCAGGCCCTCTGTTTGCAGGACAATGGCGAAGAATGATTATGAGGACTGCTAAGCTTTAAAAGCCACACAGCAAGGAAATGCACGTGAAATTGCAGACCTCTAACTTTCGAAGTTGTACTTTGATCAGAGCTCAAGTAGGATCGACTGTCTTATGTTGAACTCCCTGACACAAAGAGCGAAGTCGAACGGGATTTATAGTCCTCCGCATGGAGAAAGAATCCGAAGAATTTAGTCGGCGATTAAAAAACGCGACTGTACTACTGAACACCAAATCCAAAGCAGTTGTCCACAATTGGGAAAATCAGGACAAGAGAACAATGCTCATGTCCCCAGGTCTCAGGTCTCACTTGCCTTGGGCTCCGCACATTATGGGGAGATTTGGACCAGTTCTAGTCTTCCACCAGCGCCCTTAGTCTTGCAGATTAATTGAGCAGCTTCACCTTAATGATGACCATTGGCCGCCATGGCAAAACCTCCCCGGGATGGCATAAAACCAACTATCAAAAACCTCCAGTTTGGTGGTTAATGTAGCGGAGCATGTGCAGGTGAGAAAACTTACGACCCAGGAAAATGTGCAACAAGGAATTGCTGAACTGTCTGCCTGCCAGCGTGTGAGGGAGTATGGAGTGGGGTAGAATATTCAAACAGGACCATGCTAAGTCATCATTTCCGATTTCCAGTACAACTTCTTCGACTAGACAGATATATAACAGGTGAACTTCTCTTGCATACATCACAAAGGACTGCCAATAGCGTAGTGACTAACTGTAACCTGTAACACTCTGCAACATTCTAACAGATTCCGGAACTTTGAGAGTACGAAGCATGCATAAGCACGGCTCGATACGCTAGTAAAAGTTGGACCATACATGTACAGCTTTTGGCTCTAGGTAGGTCAGCAGGATTTAGACTAACAAGCTCGCTATATGCTGCACCGTTTTGACAGAATCCCCCAAGACTTGAGGAGGCTGGTTTAACAATCATCAAGTGGAATATGTAGTAATCGATATTTTGGTTGGCGACGGAAGTATATGGTAACTTAGCATGTAGCCCTGCGAATAGAAATCCCATTGGACCGAATAGAGGTACGGTGAAATGATTAAGCATTCGTCTATACTGAAGACAACTCGACGTGCATATGTTTATGAATAGGCTAAAAGAATAGATCCTGCAGAGTATCTCTGGTTATGACAAGGTTGAAGGAGTAAGTGACGGGTTGCTAGACTCAAGGCAGCAGCAAAGACAGCGTGATACCAGACAAGAGCAGATTCTGAAATCCTGGTTAGCTTGAAAACTGAGAGCCATTCCAAGCTAGCTCCACGTCACAAACGTGGACCCAAACATTTAGGAGTGCTAACGACCTCTCCGATGAGGTGGTCGGGTCTGAACTGTTATGGAGTGGTGTGAGTCATCAGCCATTCGGGAATTCGTTTGCATCGGTACGAAGGGGTGTCCTATGCAAAGCCTTGGCATCTGAGGATTCTGGAGCATCAAATCTTGTGTTTGGAGCTCTCGGATGCTGGTGAGTGTTCTGACTTCGAGACCTAGGCTCCTCTTCGAGCCAGTTTGCTTTGCCTCTGTTTTGGACAACGGCTGATGAATCTCCAAACAAAAGCAGAATTTATCAACGCGTCCAAGTTTGTGATGTTTTAAGTAGACTGGAGGCTAATATAAGCTGGATGAGGCCAGCGCTGTAAAGGGGCAACCAGCTAGAGTCCATAATGTGCTAGATAGAGGGCAGGTGTTACAAGATACTGATGGTATGCCCTTTACCCAATCCGTAAAGCTCATATGAGAGTAAGCCATGCATTTGTCATTGTGGACATTGGCCGCTGTGCTCTGGACACAAACGTAAGTAGGACCGGCAAAAAATGTGCCGGCTTCAAAGGGACCCTCTTGGAAAGATGCAGGGCCTTGGGGCATCTTCAAATGTGGAAGAAACTCAGACGGAGAAGGCTAGTTATGGTAAGGTTCTGCATTCGCCGCCTACATAAACGTCCAACTCTCTGGCCGGTTCCCTTTCCGAGGTTCTCATGCATGCACGCTGCTTACAGATTTAACTTGCTTGGATCTGGAATGTAAGCCGATAAAACTTGTACAGAAAGAGACGTCTTGAGCAGACGCTTATCTGCCCCCATCGGAAGGACCCCATTACTTGATTAGATTCGCCTTCTGCAGCACCATTCAGGTCGCCTAGACCCCGTTAGCATTAATAACCGCTTCCTGGTTTTTGCACACTGGGACAGTTTCTTTTATGCTCAATCTCACAGCAGGTTGCTGGCCTCGAACGCGATACCTGAGACAGTGTCGAGTATAGATATCATTCGACTAGATCCATGGCCTCAGCTTGAATTTCCACGAAGGTAGAAGGATGGTGGTACTCGCTGCTGTCCTGCATATGCTAGTGTTTCAACCCTTTGTGACCCTGAGTCTGCCAAATTTGATTCGGCACATGTCTATAGAAGTTGATGATCTACCACATTGCTTGTACTTGAAACTGAGGCGAATGAGATCTGGCTTCAATCTCTGATTCATTGGGCTCCAGGATATGCAGGCTCAATGCTTGGCGAGAGTAGCTAGAGTAGGTTCAGATTTTTGTGCACCCTCGCAGGATCTGACAACAGAGCATCTAACGCTTGCAAACATTCTGCAATCTTAGGGTTGTTGAAAGGTCACAACACTAACTGCTCATGGCTGCTTGTATGAAAGGGAACAAGATCATGTAAAAATTCTAGGTTTGGAAGTACATGTTCCAATCTTGTCCCATATTTTTTGTCTTGTCAGGATATCATAAACACACGTTTGAGCTAGTAGGTAATAGATCCGCAGCTCATCGAAATCTACACAACGAATCTACATTCATTCACACCAAGCCTTCATTACAATTCATTTGAGCGTTCATGTATATAATCTGACTCGCCCTGACTTTAAGCCACGGAAACATCCTCACTTCCTTGCTACCATACTCTATGGGATTCCGCCATAGAAGATATTTTTTCCTCCGGTACAGAGTTTGAGCATCTCGTCTGATTTCCACGGGTTAGATCAATTGATCAACTGTCTGTGATGTAGCTCGAGGTCCCTGATCAGAGAAGAAACATTGGATTCTTGAAATCTGAGTGCAGATCTCGTTCCAGAGTAATAATTTCAATACGAGACAGCTTCTACGAGCTAATACACGCTTCCACCTTGCTATCCCCAAGCTTTCTACAGTCAGCCATCAATCCTGCTGAGACCTTAGGTGCAGTGTTGAACAGTTGAAGGCAAGAGCTGATTGGTGCTCAAGCTCTACAGCAGAACCTCGTTGAGATTTCTCCAATAAAATACGCGAAACGAAACTCTACATCACATACTTAGTTTTGTTTCCACGTAAACAGAACATGGTATCAGAGAACTGAAGTACGGTTACATGCAGACACTAACATGAACACAGTTTCAGTATTGGTGTGCAAAGGCATCAAGCTCTGTCAATGCTTTACCAAATCCTAGATTCTGACAAGAGAACGTTCTGGATGGACTTGAGTTCTCATACCCACACTCCCAAACGGTGGGTATGAGAACCCACCGACTGGGAGTTCTTCAGTTGAATTCTATGTCTATGTTTACCTTTCAGACAGAACACCGGGTCTAAGAAGCCAAACTATACCAAGGTTGAACAAGTCAGATTTCAGTCTGCACCTGTTTTGGAGGACAGATACCAGACTCACGCCAAATTTTCTGTTCCAAGTTTGTATATCGGATCTTATGATACTCCGAAGCGACCAACAGGGAACCCTGAAGCTCACCGAGCTACGAGTTTTCTGACTCAGGAGTCGTTGCGCTGAACTGTTCATGTCAGAGCCAACTGCAGTATTCGACAGACGCACTTCTTTCTTAAGACAGTTCTCGAGTCCAGCTCGTACCCACCGAATCTCATCCATCTTATATGCTACAAAACGGACAAGCGTCTCGTAGCGTGAATACACTGCAAGCCAGCTAATTCAAGCGTGTATTGGTCGCACCGACTAAAACGACAAATGTTATGTTTGAAATGTGAAACTCAGAATGTACTCTGTACTCGGTTGTGGGGAACGACTGTACCACTGGTGTTGTTCGTAAACGGAAATTTCAAGTCATCAGACGGTTTATGTTTTGCAAATGTACCACGTACACAAGATTTGTCTGTCCCAGCTACCTTTTGAAACTAAGTATTCGTGAGATATGATACCAGACGTACATCTCATGCTCAGATATAGTCCAGCATATTTTGGTGAAGAACATCACTGGGCGGAAACCTATAAATCACCTGAAGTAGGAGTAAAGACTCCACATCTGGATGTCTGAAATACATTTCATCCCCCACTACGAGAGAGAAGCAACACAGAATTCTCCGCAATCCACTTCTGCAGTAATGTGGGGAGTTTTTAGCTCTCATGAGCCTCAGAGTCAGACGTCTAATTTGGAATTGTAGTTCGGAATCTGAAGAACACAATATGAGTCAGTAAACTGAAAGATACCTGATATTGTTAAGCAGGTGAGGTAATGGTTAGGAGCGTATATAAGCGGTTAAAAATTGACAAAAGACAAAACTCCACACTCCTCCTCAATATTCTCATCAAAGAGACAGTAAATTCAATCGCTGTGTCCCTGACAATCTCACCATCTCACAATCTCACAATCTCACAATCACACATGTATCTCTCCAAGTATTCCTGAGCCAACTGCTTCTCTCAAATCTATAAATTTGATAGAACAGAACAAACACCAAAACGATGGAGCGCCTGTATGGCGGAGTTTTAGCTTTGAATTTTGCTGATAACTAGGATAGCTAAAATGCTTTGAAATCCCAGATGAAGATCTATTGTATCCTACATCTTTCAGCTCTGACTGACTTACCTCTTCGTTGTGCT